GAAATTCAATAAATCTCGGAGCAAACCTGGAAAAGCAGTTGCGAGTAGCAGCAACATCATCGATACCAGCTAACATCATCACACGCCTCGCCAGAGAGAAGCAGTTCCAGCCATCACATTAGGGGCGAGTTAATTAAACGTTTGACCAAATATAACGGGCTAATTTTTAAGTTGATAATTTTGTATGGCCCGCGAATGATGTTATACATATCCAAATGTGCCCTTGGCAGAAGAAAGGTTCCCCACCCCTGGAGGAGATGATGCGGGGTGGTGGTGGGTGGTGGTTTAGGTGGGTGAATGCTGGTGGGTGGGTGGTGGTTTAGGTGGGTGGTGGTGGGTGGTTTAGGTGGTGGGTGGGTGGTGGTGGGTGGTTTAGGTGGGTGAATGCTGGTGGGTGGGTGGTGGTTTAGGTGGGTGGTGGTGGGTGGTTTAGGTGGTGGGTGGGTGGTGGTGGGTGGTGGTTTAGGTGGGTGAATGCTGGTGGGTGGGTGGTGGTTTAGGTGGGTGGTGGTGGGTGGTTTAGGTGGTGGGTGGGTGGTGGTGGGTGGTGGTTTAGGTGGGTGAATGCTGGTGGGTGGGTGGTGGTTTAGGTGGGTGGTGGTGGGTGGTTTAGGTGGTGGGTGGGTGGTGGTGGGTGGTGGTTTAGGTGGGTGAATGCTGGTGGGTGGTGGTTTAGGTGGGTGGTGGTGGGTGGTTTAGGTGGGTGAATGCTGGTGGGTGGGTGGTGGTTTAGGTGGGTGGTGGTTTAGGTGGGTGGTGGTGGTGGGTGGGCGGTGGTGAGTGGGTGGGTTGGTGGTGGTGAGTGGGTGGTGGTCGGGTAGGTGGATGGTGGTTTAGGTGGGTGGGTGGTGGTGAGTGGATGGTGGGTGGTGTGTGGGTCGGTGGTGTGTGGGTGGTGGGTGGATGGTGGTTTAGGTGTGTGGGTGGTGTGTGGGTGGTGGTGGTTGGTGGTGAGTGGGTGGCGATGAGTGGATGGGTGGGTGGTGGTTGGTGGTGAGTGGGTGGTGGTGGGTGGATGGGTGGGTGGTGTGTGGGTGGGCCTCCCATCAGCTGCTCCGTTATTTAGGAGCGCTGTGTGCGTGCGCCCGAACCCGCCAGGTGGAGGCGCTGCGCGCGCTGCTGGAGAGGCACGAGTGGGTGGCGCAGGCGGTGCCCGGCATCGTGCACAGGCTGGTGGTGCAAGCGGCGGAGCACGACCACGGTGGGGACACAGACAAAGATCCCCCGCGTAGCCTGCGCAGACTGCTGGGGCAAGTGCTGTTAGCGAGTAGCAGCACCTATGAAGGCCGGCACGGCGCACGAGGTGGGGGTGGGTGGCCAGCACCACGCCCGGCCGCCTTTTTTCTCCCCCCAGTGGCGATGTTTACACATCGCACCAGGTACTATTTTCAGGCTGAGTCGACCAAGAGGAGGCCCAGGACCGGTTCTGATAATCGTCACTGGGTGTTGGCCGTGAGCGGGAATCGAACTTGGATCGCCGGGTTCGTAGCGCAGACCGCTACACACCCCATCGGATTGCGCATCTCACCGTCGGGGTGAGTTGTGGGGCTGTGGACAGGACCTGGGGCTCACAGTTGCTCGACTCAATGTTCAACATTTTCTTTCTCCCTGCCCCCCACCCCCCCCCCCGCCGCCTCCCTGCCCCCCACCCCCTCTGCGCGTGCCCCCAGCGCTCCGCTTTGGGCAGCAGCTGCACGGTGTGGAGGCAGCGCAGCAGAGCTGGGCTGGGACCCTGAGAGCCAACGTGGCGCTGCTGCTAGAGGTGGCACCACGCGCACACACACGGCCACCAACAAACAAAACAAAAACCTCACCACGCAGCTCCAACCTCACCACGCAGCGACAACCTCACCACGCAGCAACAACCTCACCACGCAGAGACAACCTCACCACGCAGAGACAACCTCACCACGCAGCGACAACCTCACCACGCAGAGACAACCTCACCACGCAGCGACAACCTCACCACGCAACGACAACCTCACCACGCAGCGACAACCTCACCACGCAGAGACAACCTCACCACGCAGAGACAACCTCACCACGCAGAGACAACCTCACCACGCAGAGACAACCTCACCACGCAGAGACAACCTCACCACGCAGAGACAACCTCACCACGCAGCGACAACCTCACCACGCAGCGACAACCTCACCACGCAGAGACAACCTCACCACGCAGCGACAACCTCACCACGCAGAGACAACCTCACCACGCAGCGACAACCTCACCACGCAACGACAACCTCACCACGCAGCTCCAACCTCACCACGCAGAGACAACCTCACCACGCAGCGACAACCTCACCACGCAGCTCCAACCTCACCACGCAGAGACAACCTCACCACGCAGAGACAACCTCACCACGCAGAGACAACCTCACCACGCAGAGACAACCTCACCACGCAGCGACAACCTCACCACGCAGCTCCAACCTCACCACGCAGAGACAACCTCACCACGCAGAGACAACCTCACCACGCAGAGACAACCTCACCACGCAGAGACAACCTCACCACGCAGCGACAACCTCACCACGCAGCGACAACCTCACCACGCAGAGACAACCTCACCACGCAGCAACAACCTCACCACGCAGAGACAACCTCACCACGCAGAGACAACCTCACCACGCAGCGACAACCTCACCACGCAGAGACAACCTCACCACGCAGCGACAACCTCACCACGCAACGACAACCTCACCACGCAGCGACAACCTCACCACGCAGAGACAACCTCACCACGCAGAGACAACCTCACCACGCAGAGACAACCTCATCACGACGCTGGCGCTCGCGAGACTGCCAGTCTTAGGTCTAACAGCGTCCACGAATCACCACCAGTCAAGACAAAGATCCCCCGTGTAGCCGCAACACTGTTGGGGCAAGTGCTGTTAGCGAGCACCTACGCACGAGGGGGCATGGCCAGCACCACGCCCGGCTGCCTTTGTCTCCCTCGTGGCGATGTTTACACACTGCACCAGGTACTCATTTGAGGCCAAGTCGATCTAGAGGAGGCCCTGGACCGGTTCAGATAAGTCACTGGTGTTGACCCCGTAGCGCAGCGCGCTAAACACTGTGCAGCCGCTCCCCACAACACCATTACCACCACCGTCATCTCACCACCACCGTCACACCACCACCACCCTCACCTCACCACCACCGTCACACCACCGCCACCATCACCTCAACACCACCGTCACACCACCACCACCGTCACACCACCGCCACCATCACCTCAACACCACCGTCACACCACCACCACCGTCACACCACCACCACCATCACCTCAACACCACCGTCACACCACCACCACCGTCACACCACCACCACCATCACCTCAACACCACCGTCACACCACCACCACCACCCCTCCTCTCGCCCACAGATGGAGCAGTCGCTCAAGGAGAACGTGGCCTCTGTGCAGACAAACTTCGCCACCCTTGAGGCACGGGTGACGAAACTTGGCCAGTGAAGAAGAGGAGACAAGAGGAGACGAGGTGAAGGAGTCAAAGAAAGAAAAAGAGAAGTGGTGGCGGCGAGGTACGGATGAAGCGTGCAGCAGAAGAGCCGGTGACCAGAGGTGACCAGAGGTGACGGCTTTGCACTTCAATCCGTGTCCTCGTTTGCAGCCTTCAGGGCACATTCACGAAGCCCGTCCCCCCCCCCCCCCCCCCCCATCAGCGCTCTCACGCGACGGACAGCCCCCGTCTCCAGATGGAGGAGGAACGCAGTCCCGTCCTCACGCCGCTCCGCCATCAGCACCACAAAGCAACCACGGCGCGTTGGCAGCACCGCCGCCCCCTCCAAAATAAACAGAGTGGCAGTTCACCACCCACCCACCGACCACTACCACCCACCCACCACCACCCACCCACCACCACCACCACCACCCACCCACCACCACCGTCTGTCTCACGCTCCGCTCACTCGCTCGTTCGGTGAACCCCACGTGGAGTCAAGAGAGGTGGTGGGTGGGTAGAGAGCCGTCTAAAACGCGTCCATCCTTTTTATTTTCCCTCGCCTGCCGTTTTATTGTAAATGTTAATTTCTTTGCATGAAACAATTCGGGGAACATAACGCTTGGCAGGGGAGTGCCTCTGGAGTCTGCGGGACTATGAGGAGCCGGTGAGGGGGGGGGAGTGAGGGGGGGGGAGTGAGGTGGGGGGGAATGAGGGGGAGGGGGGGGTCTGTCCATCTAGCCATCCATCCGTGAGCCATACCATCTGCGAGCCACCGCGCGGGTTTTCCAAAGAGCCCAGGAGACACACGTGCAGGAGGTCCGGCTGCGTGGGAGGGTTTACGGATCGCGCACAGATGGGAGCCGACCGACCACTCCGGCTCCACGGGGCGGTACAGCAAGCAGGCCTGTGGCAGGCCCGTGCGTGCGGTGTTTGAGGATTGTCGTCCTCTGCATTGCCTCCCCCAAGGGAGATTATTTAAACACTCAAATAAGATAACTGGCCGAAACATCCCATGCAGGACCCTCCTGAAAAAAGAGTGGCGCCGTCGGCAACGCCTTCCCCACGGTAAATATTCCCAAACAACAGCAGCAGCAGGGTGCATCATTTGCAAACGGTGTGGGGTGGGTGGGTGGATGTTTGGGGTGCAGCAAGAGAAACAAAAACCAGACTTAACGATGTTTCACTTTTGTTTAAATCGCAACGCGAAACGCCCTTTTGGAGAGAGATAAAAAAAACCTGTCGCAATCAGCTTATCGGGAGACGCACGCAATTCCTCCCCGCCCCACGCCCTGAGCGACCAGTTGCGCAATTTGGTGGCATGCCAATGAAATCTCTCGGCGCCGCGTGGACGTGCTCTGGTGGCCAACTGGGAGCGGCCGCTCGCAGGAGCGATGCGGCACGATCCGACGACTCTCGACTTTGGGTTATTAGCGCAACCGATCGTTCAGTATTGACCCCCCCCCGAATTTACAGCGAGGACTGAGGGTGATGGGTAAAGGGACAGGGGGAGAGTTGAGGGAAGGGGGCAGAGAGAGGTTGGCAGTGGGGTATGAGGTGGCTGGCATGGCTACCCGGGGGTCAGGGGTTAAAGAGGTACCCACAGAGCAGCCGAGCTGAGCACCCGCAGTGTGTGTGTGAGGGTGGAGTGCGAGATGGCTATAGCCACACCCCGTACAAAATAGATCTGCTCTTCTTTCACCCTAGGTTCGCATATACATATACAACCATATAATTCTATACATCTCTATACATTTGTGTGTGTGTTGTGTTGCGTCGCAGCCTCTGTGCCATGATAAACCATTAAACATGTTGTTAGGCCCAAAATAAGAATGTCAATAATAATGATGACAGAAGAAACTTTTTTTGAGAAACATTAGTTTTTTTTCTTCTTCTTGTTTTTGAATCCTTTTTTTACCTTACAATTTACAAGGAGCAGCGAAGAGACCTGCAGGGCCCCCCCCCCCCTCCCACCACCCCCCTCCTCGGGCGACGTCACTACAGCAAACCCATTATTAAAAGATACAAAAAGAACAAAAATAAAGGGACTAGAAATCTCGTAAACACGGTACAATAAATAGATTAACACCCCCTCCCCTCCCCCCACGAGAAACCAGCGGTGGCGATGGCGGCGATGAGGAAGTGGGGTTGTTGGTGGCGGTGGGGAGCGAGGGGGGTGCAAAGCCGCACTTGATTCGCCATCCATATTCCCTGCTGCAGTCCCTCATGCATCCCCCATCAGCTGATTCCCCCACCAAGGTGACCTCACAGACCCCCCCCCCCCCCCACCTTAGTACCCTCCCCAGCCTACGCCCCCCTCCCGCTCACACTTGGCCGTGTCTCAATCTCCACCCCCCCACCCACTCTCCAAACCCAACGTGTTTCAAGTGCAAAGCATAACAGGCTGAGGTTTCCGAATTTCAAGTTACCAACGAACGGATGAATCGGTTTGTTTATATTTTCTACATTTATATATGTACACAATATTACAAAGGCGAGCGCGTTCCCGTGTGAAATCTGCGCGCGTCCGTACAGACGAGACGGGCGAAGGTGCGGGCGGGCGGGCGGCAGAGGCCGCTCTCCCACGCAGCCCGGACAAAAATAAACCACGTCGCAGCCGAGCGCGGGGAAGGTGAATTTCCACTGAGCAAGAACCCAGAATCTGGAACCCCGGGAACGCAGAAACCGGAATGGGAGCCATCTCCAGGAAGTCTTTCACAATCCGCAACAATAAGATTGTGTGGGCAAAATGTCACCCACCGAACCCAAACCAAACGACAACAAATTGAAATAAAAGAGGACCTGTCCAGGAGCAAAACGAAAAAGAGGTTCAAACGAATATCAAAGGCTGGATTCGAGGCAGTGCCCCTACTAAAGACTTTTATATTCATTCCATCATCACGACCTCTGCTCCTCGCACGTCTTTAATGCCATCTCGGTCTGGTTCCAGATCTGGATTCGTCTCGGTGTGCAGAGTCCAATTCCAGTCGTACGGTCCGGCTCAAGTGTGAGGGGGGGGGGCGCGCCCCAGCCACGCTAAGCGATTCACAGGGCCGCCCCGATTGGCTGTAAATCCCGAGCGGCGGTCGGTGTGGCTTAGTGGTTTTGTGGCGTTGACCAAGTCGCTAGGCCCGGTGGCCTGGGTGGCAGCGATGCGGGCGAAGGAGGCGGGCGGGGCCGGTGGCGCGGCAGTGCGCTGTCATTGGCTGGCGTCCTCCCTCCCCCCCCGCAACTCCGGGAGGTCGCAGGGTTGGTGGTGGGGGGGGTGAGGTGCGGCGACCCGGTCAGAGGTCACGTCACCTCCATGGGGGCAGGCTTGTCGGCGAGGCTGCTCAGGGAGCCGAGGTCGGCCTCGTGGCTCTCCCTGCACACGAAACACAAAGATCCCCCGTGTAGTTTCAACAGACTGTTGGGGCAAGTGCTGTTAGCGAGCAGCGCCTACGAAGGCCGGCACTGTGGCACACGAGGGGGTGGGTGGCCAGCACCACGCCCGGCCGCCTTTGTTTCCCGAGTGGCGATGTTTACACACCGCACCAGGTACTCATTTGAGGCTGAGTCAACCTAAGGAAGGCCCACGACCGGTTCAGATAATCATCACTGGTGTCGGCCATGAGCGGGAATCAAACTCGGGTCTCTGCCACGTTCGTAGCGCAGTGCGATAACCGTTCTACCACCGCTTCCCACACATGCATAGACACACACGCGTACACGCACAAGCGCACAGATACCCCAAACAGCGCACACACACGCGCGGATGCACGCACGCACACAGACGCGATGTGCTTGCACGAACACACGGACGTACACACGGCCGTCATCACAACTCTGCGCGCTCGTGACTGTGAAGTGTGATGAGGGTGCGCGTTGGCGACGCGAGCGATGGTGCAATGTGCATTTGAGAGGGCGCAGAGGAGAGAGAGAGGTAAAACCAAGGTGAGCGATGCGATTTAATTAGAGCAAAGATGAGTGAAGCTCTTTGTGACGTGACGGGGGAGTCTTACAATTCGAGCCAAACAAAACGAACCCTTGCATGCCCAACCGTCACTGACGCAATAAAGGTGGACATACTTGTTGCAAGTACGTCTGTTAAGACCAGCACGTGTGTAAATGTTATGTTCAGTACTTGCGTACAACAAGTACGTCTGTTACGACCAGGACGTCGCGTACAACCTAACCAGTCACCGTCAGGACCAGCACGTGTGCGCGCACGTGACCAGTCTGTCCGTACGACCGGTAGACACGCGTCACCGCGCGAGCCACTCCCCGCTCACCGTGCCGCCATGGCGAGTTTCAACGCCCCCGGCGACGGCGCCGGCGCCACCGCCAGCGCCCGAGGCGGCGGTGCCGCCGCCGCCGCTCCGTGCGGAGGCCGCGGCGCCGCGTGCGCGTGCAGGGGAGCGCCGCCGCCGGGCAGCGGCGAGGAGCAGCCGGCCGGGCGCGAGCAGGGCGCCGGCGCCGACACGGGCACCGGCACGGGCGCCGGGCGGGCGTGGTGAGGCCGCGGCGCGTGCTGCGCCGGCACGGCCGCGAGGGGCCGGACGCCGGAGAGCTGCACCGTCGCCGTCCTCGCGTACACCGGTTGCGCCGCCGACGCCACGACCGCGGCGGCCTTGCTCGCGACGTGAGCCATCGCCACGCCGCTGCCGACGGCGTGCGTCGCCATGGCGGCCCGCACCAGCGGCTGCGCCGGGATGCAGCTTCCCGTTTGCGCCATCGTGCCCGGTTGCTGCAGTTGCTGCTGCAACTGATGCTGCTGTAACTGTTGCTGGTGCTGTAACTGCTGCTGATGGTGTTGTAACTGCTGCTGCTGCTGCTGCAACTGCTGCTGGTGCTGCAGCGCGGCCACGGTCGTCGGCTGCTGTGGGATGGCGCCGCCCGCGCCGGCGAGCTGATGCTGGTGCATCGGGCCCACGTGTCGCACGGCCGCCAGCGCCGTGGGCTGTTGCGCCGACGGCCCTCCGCCGCCCAGCGCCACCGAGGCCCCGGGGCCCACCGGGAGGCAGTTGGCGAGGCTGGCGGGGAGAGGCACCGTGCCCGCCAAGGTGCCGGCGCGCGCTGGAGAGAGGGCGCCGGTGACCGCTGCGGCGCCGCCGCCCGACGCTAGCGGCAGTGCGTCGGTGGGGCCCAGCAGCGCCGTGACGGCGAAGAGGGCGCCGGCCGAGTCCAGAGTGTTCCCCAGACAGGGGCCCTGAGAGAGGCGAGGTGAGCAGAGTGGGAGTTGAGTGGAGAAATTAATATGGGGGGAGGGGGGGGGAGAGATCAGAAGACGAGAGAGATAAGAACGGAGGCGAGAGAGGTGGGGGGTAGAGCGAGAGGAGTATGATATGAAGGGGGTGTGAGAGACAGATGATGAGGCAACAGATGACGAGGTTAAGAAGAGATGCGAACACCAGGAGAAAAGAGAGGACTAGATGGAAGAGGACACGTGAGAAATTTACAAAGATCAATCACCATATGATAAGGAAACACTAATGAACTCCTTTTATCTGTGGCTGTCGAGTCCTTTAAAAACTCCTGAAATCTGTGGGTTTACTCTGATTATCTGCGATTATCCACCATGCCGATTACTCGTAATTTTTTGTACTTAAGAGTCACACGGAAAATTACTCATTATCCTGCAAATGACTCATTATCCGTGGGGTTATCGGTAATTTAATAAGTACATAAAAATGTGCCGCGATCAAAGCAAGTGCAAATTTGGCGCACTTATTTTGATAATGAGCCAACACAGACACACACATAACCACGGAGACACAGAGAGAGACAAGAAGACATGTAACCACAGAGACACAGAGTGAGACGGAGACTGATACAAAGCCAAAGAGGCATACACTAATAAGGGGGGAGACACACAAACAAAGACTGTCCCGTTTAACCTTTTAACAGGCTGTAGGAGCAAGTGGCGTTAGCGAGCACCTACGAAGGCCGGCACGGGACACTAGGGGGTGGGTGGCCACAGCACCATGCCCGTCCGCCTTGAGACACACATACAGACACAAAGACACAGATATGAAGACAAAGATATGTCGACACAGACATGGAGATGCATACTAAGGAGACACAGAGACAGAATGAGACACACGCAATTAATTTCACGGATAAGTTAATTTACCCAGCAGATTCATCCTCTCACCCGCGATTTACCACGTGGATAAGAAGAAAATCGCAGACAATAAGATCCACAATATTGATCCCCCATATAACCGTGGATACGAGGATTATTATATATATAAATTACTATCAACCTATATGCCAAACGTAACATTAAGGCTAAACTAGACAGCTGCACTCGGGAAGAAAAATCCATCTTTTTTTTAAACAAAGCGGGAAGATTGAAGACAAGCCGCGCGATTGACAACGGCAAACGGCGACTGCTGCGGTGAACAGCACCCCCCAAATCCTCCCCCCGCCCCCCCCCCCCCGTACCTGTTGCTGCTGGTGCAGCGAGTGGGCGGCGCTCTGCTCACGCTGCATGTCCGCCACTTGCTGCTGGTGCCTCGCGTACTGCTCCTGCGTGAAGCCTGCGGCGGCGGGGGGAGAGTCACCGCATTTAGCCACGACAGGCCGACTCGCGCCTTCCAACGTTTGACAACGATCCCCGGGGCAGAACTTTGGACGCCCGTGATTGGGGCGGCTTTGTGGAGGAGGGGGGCATTGGTGGACAGCGTTAAGAGATATAAATGTGTCGTTAAACCCGCCACCACCCGACACAGCCAATTGGTAAGGTTGGTAACGTAACCAAAACATGCCAAAAACTAGGAACGTTTTGGCTGTCGGGTGGTGGCCGGTTTAACGACACATTTATATTCATGTCATCTAACTCAAAAACCTCTATTGTGAATAATAGTGGTCAGGAAAGCCTCCGACTATGTGTCAGGTGTCAAGCTGACCAGCAGATGATGACACAGCAAGTTGGTTCGTTCGAGAACCCATCAGTGATGATCTTATTTATTGCCAGAAAGGGTAAAACCTATTCTCTTATTTTTCATCCTCTTTGGGTCTTTCGGTAAAGATAGAAAATTAACTTTTAAAAATCACGACGTTTCGATCGCAACACAAGCAATCGGCTTCAGGTGAAGAAATACAGCAGGCCGACTGCTGAGGCCGGAGAAATGTTTATCCTGCCTCAGAGCAGTTCGCCTGATGTGTCTGCAGTCACGAAAGCTTTAAGTCAAGATTTATTTTTCATCGTTTTGGATTCTAGAAAAAAGGTTCCATCGATATAACTGTTGGACCTGAGCTTAAAGTGTTCTGATACTGGCATCGTCTGCGTACTGTTTGCTTTTTGGCGTTCTCTGCGCTGACACTGATGACACAAGGCCATAATAAGTATAACCCGTAAAAACAAAGTTTTTCACTCTAAATCCTTTATATGCGTGGCGGCTAGAGTCCTCTCGTCCTCTGGCTTGAGATGGCTGCCACCTATGGGTCAGATGATTGTCTGCAGTATTAAACAATTGGTAATTAAATATTTAATTTGTTTTCCCTAAAAAGTGTAAAATTTTGGAAAAATGTTTTCACGAACATTAATTGTCTCGCACAACGAGTCTGTGTGCAAAATGTCAGCTCGATTGAAGTGGGTTAAAAAACGACCAAAAGATTTGCACGGTCGTAAGCAAGCAAGCACGCACGCAAGCACGCAAGCAAGCAAGCAAGCGAACTTAATATAAAGGATTTAAAAAGAAGGCCATCTGTGGTGTAAGCCAATCAGTTTAAAAAACAATGCATATATATTATGAGAGCATGTTTGTTTGCAAGTTCTACCACAAGTATAACGTGTGATTAATGCAGTACTTGACGCCTTGCAAAAGGTATCTATTGGTGTGTGAACATCTTATTGCCAGAAAGGGTAAAATCTACTCTTATTTTCATCATCTTCTGAACGTTTATCCCCTTGTATGTGTATTGGGTTTGCTCTGGATTATCCGGTTTCCCCCACCATAAGGCGATATTTTCCTTAAACAGACCCCAAATGTCTTCTTGGTTCTTTCGGTAAAGTCACGTAGAAGGGAAGTAATAAAATAATAAAAATAAAACATAATAAAATCAAATAATACTCACGACGTTTCGGCTACAACGCAAGCTTATTATTTGATTTTATTATGTTTTATTTTTATTATTTTATTACTTCCCTTCTACGTGACTTTACCGAAAGAACCAAGAAGATGAATCCCTGCAGTCACGAAAGCTTTAAATCGAAATTTAGACCCCAAATGGTATCCATCTAACACTGTGTAATTGAAGTGCGCTCAGTCAATCATCTCACTGCAAGGGCCTCCTCACACTTGGCCGGCAGGCACGCGGTCATGAAGGTTTTTAGACGACGACACGAAGCCGTGCGCTAGTCTGTGGACCTGCGTAATAACAATGTACACGTGCAAGGCACGTTTCATCCACAGATCTCAATGCACGCCGTGCATGGAAAGCAGGAAATCAAGAGAACCAGGGTACACGGCCAGAACTCGGGGGTAAAGATGGCTTTAAAGAGGTAAACTTTCAAGACAGACTTAAATATGTCTCACGATTACAGTCTATTCTCCTATAACGTTGCATGTTTTCATCGCGCGAATTGCAGGTAACGCGATGAATGTGATCGGGAACACACAGAACGCGATTGAGTGAACAGGACTACGTCGCGCGAGTCCGAATCAACGGTTGTACGGCCGCCTCGGTGTGGCGTCACACGAGGCGAGATGCTACCCACAAGCCTCAGTCTTTGTTCAGCCTGCGCACGCATATCATGTGTTACCACGGACTGTGTTTTACCCTGCATTCAATATTATTCATTATACCATTTTTCCATGGCGCGGTGTTATTCTTCATGAACACAACTATCTCGTTATAGGAGAAGAGACTGGAAAAGCAAAGGCAAAATCGTTCCATGGTTTAGGAGCTGCACTTGCAAAAGCCCGACCACCCCGGGACACGAGCCTTGACCTCGGCAGTACTACGGAGGTGATCTGAAGATTCCTCAACCAGGAACCTCGTCCCTCACGTTTCCCTCCCACGGCGTCTCACGGCGTCTCACCCCCCCCCCCCGCCATCTCCCCCCCTCCCACCCCGGCGGCGGTGACTCTCACCTCCGTGGTCCGTGGCCGCGTGCCGCGCCCCGCCGCCGTGCCGTGGCCGCTTGCCGGTGCCGGGGTGGGCGGCGGCGGCGGCGCCGTGCCGCGGGCGGTAGTGCGGGCAGCGCGCGGCGCGGATGTCGGCGAGGAGGCAGCTGAGCGGGTCGGTGAGGGCCGGGTGCGGCGAGGGAGCGCCGGGCTCGGCCGGGCTCGGCAACGCCGCCCGCTCCTCCTCCCCCTCCCGCTTCTCTCGCTCCTCTGCGCCGCCGTCCGCGCTCAGCCTCCACAGGAGGCCGTCGAGCGGCGAGCGCAAGCGGTCAAGGAGCAGCCTGAATGCACGGGGGGAGCGGCAGCGGTCGGTACAATCGGGTTTGGCGTGGGAGGTTTGATTCAGGCTACGCTTTGCCCATGGAGTGTTTCTGGGGTGCCTGTTTGTTGTGGTTAACTTCATACCTGGTGCTGAGTTTGCATGCGTGGTGGTGGAGGTGGCGTTGGTGATGGTGATGGTGGTAGCGGTGGTGATGATGGTTGTGCGTGGTTATGGCGGTGGCGGTTGTGCGTGTGGTTATGACGGTGGCGGCAGTGGTCACCTCCCGCCTCGCCCGACGCGCCGTCGTGCGAGCCCCATGCAGCGCGGCGGCGACGACAGCGACGTGAGGCTGTAGCCACGCGCGCCGCCTCTGCCGTTGTCATCGTCGCTGGCCGCCTGCCCGCTCGGTTCGCCGTCCCGGGGCTGTGTGGCACAAGCAGGAGAGCCGGTAAAAGGGGGAGAGAACTGGTTAACAGGAGAAACCGATGGGGAGGATTGTTGAGAGCAGATTCGCTTTAGAAGAGAACCGGTGACGGGACGAAGGGGAAACAGGAGAACCGCTGAGGGGGAACGGGTGATAAGGGGGCAAGGAGCAACAGAGACGATCTGCTGCTGTTGCTGTAGCACTACTTCGGCACAGAGACACGTCAAGCGCGGTGCGTCGTGAGCTCGTGAGGAACGCAGTGTGGTGCGCAGTGTGGTGCGCAGCGTGGTGCGCAGTGTGTGGCGCAGCGTGGTGCGCAGCGTGGTGCACAGCGTGGTGCACAGTGTGGTGCACAGTGTGGTGCGCAGTGTGGTGCACAGTGTGGTGCGCAGTGTGGTGCAGTGTGGTGCACAGTGTGGTGCACAGTGAGGAACGCAGTGTGGTGCACAGTGTGGTGCGCAGTGAGGAACGTGCAGCTTTGTGTGCACTCTAAGTGTGTGGGTGGCGGAGTTAGGCATGGCGGCGTGTGCAGAGCATCGTGTGTATGCGGTTACGGTGCAATTTTGTGCCGTGATGTATGGTGCGTATATATTTAGTATTGGTGTGGTGGTGGGGTGGGGGGCGCATCTCACCGCGTGGTAGAGGCACCCGGCGACCCGGCGGAAGGTGAACGTCCCGTCGGGACCGTTCTCTTGCTCCGAGTCGGATGACGAAGACTGAACCTGCAGAGCGAGATGAGCGGCCAGTCGCACTTTAACCAACACACTGGGACCCAGGGCCAGCCCACTGGGCTCTATCAGGCATCCACAGGACAAGCATTCAGGGTTCTAAAACCAGCCTTCAGGGGGATTCCAGGAAGTCTGCCACACCCTGTCACAACACCGCTATGCTGCACGTTCACCAAGCAAAGATGACGATCCCCTTCGTAGCCTTAACCGACTGTAGGGGCAAGTGCTGTTAGTGAGCACCTATGAAGGCCGGCACGGCACACGAGGGGATGGGTGGCCCGCACCATACCCAGCCGCCTTTGTCTCCCCGGTGGCGATGTTTTACAATCGCACCAGGTACTCGTTTGAGGCTAAGTCGACCAGGACCGGTGAAACTAATCGTCACTGGTGTTGGCCGTGAGCGGGAATCGAACTTGGGTCGTCAAGTTTTTAGCACCATGCGCTAACCGGTACACCACCGCTCCCCACACACGCTCACTCACACCACACAGCACCGCCACACCACCTCACTCGCTCGCAGGCACCGCCACGACCGCGCCTCCGCCTGGCTCACCGGTGCCGGGGACTCGTCGCCGGAGCTGTGGAAGTCGTATTGGTTGAGGTCCTTCAGGTTGAAGGTCGGGGCCGGCGCGGGGGTGACGGCGCTGGCGGCCGGTGGCGTTGCTGCGGCACGGCCGGCACCTGGGCGGTGCTTCTGGTGCTCGTACTTGCGCTTGGGCCGCCCAGGCTGACCTGGCTCCTACATTCAGGAGACGATGGGACGACGGGGTCAGAGGATTGGCAAAGAATTCCATTGGCTTACCGGCGCACTATGAGGATTATGAATAAACGATCGAGCCGATTGAGTAACGTACGATCATCAACTGCGGGTGTGACCGGTGGACTGACGTACGTTTACGAATGTGGGAACCAATCCATTGGTTAACCCAGGGTACGGAAAGAGTGTCCAGCCTGGGGCGGGGGTAGGTTAGGCGAGCGAGCGCGCGCGCGCAGGAGTGGTGGCCGGCACTCACCCGGTGCGCCTTGTAGTCGACGTGGTGGTAGGGGCTGCCCCCGTTGAGCAACGTCGGCGGGGAGGCCGGGGAGTGGGCAGGCGCCTCCTGCTGCCGCTGCGACAGCACCTCGGCGAGCATGTCCCCGTTCAGGTCTCCGGCCTCGTACCTGGTCAGCGAGGTGAGGGGGGGGGCGATGATGGCAGCAAAGCAATATGACTGACGAGCTACATTCAACCTGGTAAGGACTTTGATACACTTTAGAAACCGACATTACCTATGTAATAGAATGCATGGCTAGTGTGGGTTGCGTTGGGGGCATATGTCACGCACAATGTCACACTCGCGCACACAGACTGACACTCACACACAGTCTCTCACACACGGTCACACAATCACTTAGTCTCACTCACAAAAGACAAAGATCCCCCCTATAGCCATAACAGACTCGTGGGGCAAGTGCTGTTAGCACATAAGTGTCTCACACACGCAGTCTCACGCACGCAGTCTCACGCACGCAGTCTCACACACGCAGTATATCGCTCGCACGCACGCACACGCGTGTGCTGGTGGCGGCGGTGGGCACCTCTTGACGGCGACCTGCAGCGTGAGGTGCAGGAGCTGGCGCTTGTTGGCCTCGCGCCGCTTCACCATCTCCAGGATGGTGACGGCGCGACTCAGCTCGCGGCGCAGACGCAGCATGCGCTCGTACGACGCCTCCTCGTTCTTGCGGTTCTGGCGACGGGCACGGGGGTGGGTTGTTTTTTTATAATAATGATAACAGTTAAAAAAGAGTTGTGTTGCTGAGGGACTTCCCCGTGTAGGAGACCGGCCAAATCGCCCAGCACTTGCAAGACAAAAACTAGCGCCAAAATCAATGCTACTTCCCACTCCACCTCCGATGACGTCACCGCACGATGTCATCTCGCCACCTCGCGGCACCACGCGCCGTGTGTGACATCATCTTGTTGTGCGGCTTGCCACGCAAAGTCGCGAACGCTTATTGAAATATACTTCCGAGGGCAATGGTGCGTTAGAAAGCATTACAGAACGCAAGCGTATGCACGGTTCTTCGTTTTGTCTATTTCTCCAATGATATTTTCGCCTCCGATATGCCCATCGTGGCGCATGACAAAGAATCTGTTCGGATATCTCACCAAGCAATGCAGCTACCGAGTTAGAGAGCAGCCCACGGAAGCGGATATCACAGAACTACCACCTCTTGAGATAGCTTCAACTGCCCTCTGGTTCACACACAGGAGGCGGCGGCACCGTGCCACGCAATATGCTGCGGAAAACAGTAACGTTCTTCGCGCGACGAGTCAAATCGACACAGAGGGACGGTCTCCCGTTTACGACGGTCCAATTTAGTAAGATCCACATTCATGACATTTATAAATAACGCCACCATGGATCTATTTACGATGCAGAAACTTGATTTACGACGCATCTTCTGGCATGGCTCCGAATGCGTTTGAACAGAACCGGTCTTTGGTTTCCGACGTGACTTGGCGTGGAGCTTTTGTTATCTTCCAGTGTTAGGGTGGGTTTCTTTAACCTATTAAACCCCGTCAAATACGGCCGGTAAAAAGGAAATACACATCGGCAAGTATGTTTCTACCGTTTCTACTGTCTATGGAAAAATAAGGTCCGATTTCCGACGATACAATTTACTACGTGGGAGTGTCGCGTGGATTTTTCTCCGGGTCCTCCGGTTTTTCCCCTCCACGATTAGAATCGACGTGATAAGCCACTTCACTGGGCTGTTATTTGTGATAGCCAGGTCACTTCTGAAAAATACAACTCAGTGGGCCTTACCTGGTAAAATAAAAAAAGTCGTAAAATCGGGAGCGCCTGTGTATATATATATATACTTATTTAATTTATGTTTGTTTAATTTTCAGACCTTGCGCGTCTGCATCTTCTCCGTGCGCCGGCGGAAGGCCACGTAGGGGTTGTGGTTGTGGTTGTTGCTGTTGCTGCCGGCCGGCGTGGCAGGAGCGTCGCGCCGGTCCTGCCGCACCGAGGGCATGAGCGAGCAGCCCCGGCAGCGCCGCCGCTTGTTGCGCCAGTACTCCCACACCTGAACGCCGCGGACGACGAAAATAGGAGGGCGGAGGACGACGAGGATGAGGAAGGCGACAAGGTCAGAGCACGCGCGTAGGAACGACGGTCCCGACGCAAATTTCAAAACAACGGCAGAGATGTGGTGTAGGCGTCACTGCTCACATCGTTGCCAATGTGGGCAACAACACGTGGGCTTATCAACGATTAGCACGGTTGGATCGCACCGACGATAAGCACGGCTGGCTACGTACGGTGCAAAAGAAGTTCAAGATACGCACGTTCATCAACGGCGATAACGACGATGTGAGAATTACGCACATGGTCGAGGATGTGGACACGTCACACAATATCGTCAACATCATCATCATCATGGATGTGGGAGTCACGCTAACCATCATCAAACGTCGATGAACACCGTCATAAAAACATCGAACAATGTGGGCATTAAATTGACGTACGGTTAAAAATCAGAATTAAACAATAGGCTTGTTATTACAATTGTTAACACTCGTCATCATTAGGTACCAAAATTATGCATTAGAATTGGTGTATTAGTACCTCCTCTATCAGCTCATTCTCCTCCTGCAGCAGTAGCCGAGCCTCTGCAAGCGTGACGGACTGCACACACAAACACAAGGAGACACGCACGCACACAAAAAAAAATTCACATCCCCGTATAGCCGACATTGACTGTTGGGGCAAATACTTTACAAGCGAGCACATATTAAGGCCTCCATGGCTCATGAAGGGGTGGTGCAGACAGCACCACACCTGGATAGCTTTGTCTCCCCAGTGCCGATGATTACACACTGCACCTTGTACTCATTTAACGCCGAGTCGAGCTAGGCGAAATCCCAGCAATGATCCAGATATCAAAAGCCACTGATATTAGTCGTGGCCGTGAACTAAACTTGGGCCTCCGTGTTCAAAGCGCAACACACTAACCAACAACACTATTGGCTCCACAAACAAGACACGGACACAAAGGCAAGCCAACACACGGATAGCTATCTATAAACACTAGGTCATGGGTACCCTGATGGCTGTATATTTGGAGTTTTCATGTTCTCCCCGTGGCTACGTGGATTTTTCTCCGGGTCCTCCAGTTTTTTTTACATTTAGAATCATGCGTCTAGCGAGTTTGCCTGCTATAAATTTCCCCGCGATAAGCCGCTTCGTCGAGCTATCGTTTGTGGTAGCCAGGTCGCTTCTGAAAAAGAACTGTACAGCTCAGTCGGCCGTACCTGCTTACTCCGACCACTGATTTCAGGAAAAAGTAAGTGGTCGGAGAGAGCCCACAAACAACCCAAACATAGCTAGGACATATATAATAATTATTATTATTACTAAGGAGGTAAACACACCTCACATGGCCTCATACATTTTGTTGTAAAATCAGAAATTTCGATAAGGAGCCTCAATTCCATTGAAGCAAAAAAAACAAGCTAGGCTTTACGGAGGCAGGCAAAGCACTGGGAAAAAAGTGAAGATATTGGAACTGAACCTTAATAATACTGCGGTTGCCTTAGGCTATGAGCTTCACACATTATACTTTTTCATTACCATTAAAGTCAATGTTAACGGTGAAGAGGCAGGGCTGTGGTGCAATGGTTTGCAAGCGGTGCTTACGACCCATCGACCCGTGTTTGATTTTTGGCCACGGCTTACATAAGCAGTGGATTTCAGAATCGGCCCTTGGGTGTACCTCAACCAACTGGCCAGCGTGGTGAAGCATGGCCCAACAAGAAACCACGGCCGATACAGCATGGGGAGCCCGGCAGTGGATGCACAAAAGGACCATGCATATTGATGCATGTACATCATCTATATATACAAGGAGAATTTGTGAATATGTGTGTCTGTTCGAAATGTTTAGCATACTTCCCAACATGCAACAAACTTGAAATTTGGCATGTGGGTAGCTTCCAGACTGTACACAATGCAAAAAGTATAAAAATAGACTTTTGTATTTTGGGGGTGGGGGTGTAATAATGGATATATTTTGCACGGCAAGTGAGCGCCTGCCGCCCTGATGTAACCGATGTAAACATCGATATCCTTATACATCTGGCCGTTCTCCGGCATTGATTCAGGCAGTACTAAATCAGCTAATAAAACACGATGTCGACACTGGTCCAGAGATTGGTTGTATTGAATCAATGCGGCTGAATTTATGAATTCCCGGATTGTGCGGCCGATGGGTTGTGGAAACAATGCTTTTATACGGGTTTCTCTTGCTTTATGCGGGTTCGGTTTGTGCATTTTCGTGTATATGCGGCTAACTTATTTCTTCCCAAAATTCGCGGCATTATGCAGTTTGAATGCACTCGTATGTGGCTACGTGGTTGGACGTGGGACATTGCGTGTAAACTGTACATGCTACTCAGCAGGCAGCTATCGCGAACACAGAGAGGACACATACACAGAGATACATGGAAATAGAGCTACAAAGACACAGACAGAGAGATACATACACATACAGATACACAGAAAGATACACACAGAGATACAGACACATTCACAGAGATAACAAAAAAAAAGATACCCCATATTGCCTTAACAGACTTTTGAGGCAAGTGCTGTTAGTGACTACCTATGAAGGCCGGCACGGTGGCCAGCACCACACCCGGCCGCCTTTGTCTCCCCAGTGGCGATGTTTACACACCGCACCAGGTACTCATTTGAGGCCGAGTCGACCTAGGGGAGGCCCAGGACCGATCTAGAAAATCGTCACTCGTGTTGGCCGTGAGAGGGAATCGAACTCGGGTCGCCGAGTCCGTAGGGCAGCGTGCTATCCGTGAGGCTACCACTCCCCACCACACTGTGTGTGTACTTCACGCGCTACTCGGCAGGCAGCTGACTCCTCGTGTGGTTTCGCTTTTTGCGCCCTCTTCTTGGAACGCACCTCCTACGACCACCTCATCGAGCACGGGAAACCTGTATTGACTACGTGCAGAGACAAATACGAAGGAGCCGTATTGTCTGCTTATCTATTTTGTTAACGTATACTCTCCCACGATGGTGATAATTTTACTAAAACTAAGTGCCCAGAGACTAATACTGTGCATAGACTAACTAAACTCAACTATTTTTTTTATTTTACCAGGTAAGGACCACTGAGCTATTTTGCTCTTTTTCAGAAGCTACCTGGCCACAAACGAGAGCCCAACCAAGTGCTCTGAACGCACGTCAATTCTACACGGAGGGAAAAAACCGGAGGACGCGGAAAATAATCCACGCAATCACGGGGAGCGAGAAAACGCAAACTCCAAATATACAGGCAAGGTCACGGTGGGGATCGAACCCACGACCTCCTATATACCAGACGAGGTAGTGACCATCTCTCCACCATGCTGAAAGCTTGATGAATCGAACTTAGATAATTAATTGATTATTTATACTTGGTTACTTGCTCACCATTTTCTCTATTTTGCACTCTGACGGTTGCTGTTTTTTAGCAATGTTTGCTGTCGCAACTCGTTGAATCGCCCAATCCCTGGACGCGTGTGAAAAAGATCTTCATAGCGCATCGGATTCCCTCATTCCTCCAGTCCCAAACAAAGATTCTCGGTTCTGAACAATGATGATTTCGTGTCACCAAAACAATACAACACACCTGGCATGTGTGAGTGTGTGTGAGTGTGTGTGAGTGTGTGTGCTCAACGGACCGAAAGCCGCTGCGGTGGAGGCAGGGGGGGCGGTGGGGGTAGTGGGCGGGGGGGGGGGGCGGTGGGGGTAGTGGGCGGGGGGGGGGGGGGCGGTGGGGGTAGTGGGCGGGGGGTGGCGGTGGGGGTAGTGGGCGGGGGGTGGCGGTGCGGGTAGTGGGCGGGTGGTGGGGGTAGTGGGCGGGGGGTGGCGGTGGGGGTAGTGGGCGGGGGGTGGCGGTGAGGGTAGTGGGCGGGGGGGGGGTGGTGGGGGTAGTGGGCGGGGGGTGGCGTGGTGGTAGTGGGCGAGGGGGGGGGCGGTGGGGGTAGTGGGCGGGGGGGGGGCGGGGGGGGGGGTTAGTGGGGGGGGGGGGTCCCTCACCTGCATGCCACTGCCCTTCTCTAGGCGCTCCACCATGGCCTCCAGCTGTATCGGCGTGATGGGGTAGCGGCGGCCGGACCGTGCCAGGAACACCTCGTCCTCCGAGTCCAAGTCATACTCGGGCAGGTCCGGCTCCAGGCTCAGCGCTGTTGATGGAGATAGAAAAAACTGTTAAGACGATAAAACTATTTTTTATTCTACCCAGGTAAGGCCCACTTGAGCTGCGTGGATCTTTTTTCAGAAGTGACCCGGCAAAATGATCTGGCTTGATGATGGCTCGACTAAGTGGCTTATCGTCACGTGGAAATGTATAGCAGCCAAAGACTCTTAAATGCACGTCGATTCTAAAAGTGCAGAGGTAAAACTGGATGACCCGGAGAAAAATCCACGCGACCACAGGGAGTCAGGGTCAGGATCGAACCCACGAGATCCTGTATACCAGGCGAGGTAGTTAACATCTCGCCACTGTGGCAAGATGTTAACTACCTCGCGCACACACGGGATTTTGCGACGCTTTCAAAATTTGTCTGTATGTGCTCGTTAGTGTTTAATTGTTATTTATTAGCAGGCATGGGATCTTGTGGAACCTGAGTTCTTGTGAGTCTGGTGGAATGTGCCTCTGGTGACAGGTGGGTTCTGGTGGAATGCGGTTATGATAAGACGCTTGTTGTGGTGGGAAATATTTGTGGGGGCTTTTTGTGATGACTTCAAGTGGCTCTGGTGTCATGTGACAGGTCGCTGTAGAGAGGGAGGGTGGTGGAGTGGGGCAGGTGACGGGTGCGGTAGCAGCAGCAGCGTTACGCACGTGGCAGGCGGATCAGCTGCTTGGGCAGACGGTAGGTGCTGGGGTAGAGATCGTGGAAGTACGGCACGTTGCTCTGCGCCTCGGGCACGGGTATCACCATGCTCTCGCGCTTCTCGCCGTACGCCTGCTGCGCCGACATCGCCCGCTGCAGGTGGTGCTCCTGCACAGATGGACGGGCACGGCAGGGGAACAAACACGGTCAGCAGTTATTAAATTGAAGCAGAAGGCTCCGACTGCAACGGAGTGGGCAGCCAATGGAGCAACAGGGCTTTCGGTTATGAAACATGAACGGCAACATTACCGTCATTATCGCTGTCATCGTCACCAATATTCACAATCATTGTCACCATGACCACCCCACCCCCGTCCAGGGCTGGGAAAAGAGCATCAGCTGATGAGTCTGCGTCACAAAATGTAGATTAAGTCAACAATGGTTCAAGTTCGGTCAGGATGTACTGCTTCCCACCATGGGAATATGGACCGCAGCTTTACACCATGAGCACCAGCGAACAATGGCAGCACCAACAGGTACATGGGTAAAAGAGCACGGCTCACAAACATCACAGTTAAACATAACCATACATTACTTCATACAAACAACAACAGCCGCCATTCGCTACGACGTGGCGGTGACGTCAACACGGCGCTAGTCTTAGGCCAGGTGCGCTCCCGAGGTCACGTGAAGTGTCGAAGGCTCGCCGACAGGTCAAGGCACAGACCCATGTACCAACACGACCAATGGAACACGCAAAGGGACAAAAATGAGACGTACACTACTTCTCTACGCTGAGGTACTTCATGACACAGCCAATAAACCAAGGAAATAAGCAACAAACAGACCCACGCCTTCACTCCCCCGTATACAGGGTTACTGCATGCCAACACGGCAAATTAAAAAGCCAACGGGAAAACAAACAGACCTACACCACCACTCAACTCTATACAGAGGCACTCCGCACCTCCGATTAGCACGGTTGGCTGCGTACGGTGTGAAAGAAGTACAACATACATGCATATTTCACGACGCAGCCAATGAGTCAAGTAAACACAAAACAGACTCACGCCATCAACTTAGCACTATAGCGTACGGAGTAACTTCAAGACAAAGCCCACGGACTAAGCAAAACAGATAAATTAACAGATCCATGCTAATGCTCTAAATTAAACAGATGAGCTTAAAAGGCGAAAGCCGGCGGAACAAGTAAACAAAAACAAAGAGAAACCCCCACGCCACCACTCTACGATCGATACGGCGACTTCAAAGTGCAGCCCAATTACAGCCGTGCATAATCGCCACGAGTCGATAGTTTGAAGCCAATACGGTTCTGCGTGGGATTGTGGATTAGAAAAGTGCCTCTTCTGCGATCGATGGGACATTAAGGGGCGCTGCGATTTTGAAAGGGGGCAGACAGCGGCGGCATGACTGAGCGCCGCTTTGTTGCAGAGGTGTCACCATTCGAATCCAGCGGCCACCCTGATTATTACTGCGGTGGCGTGTAAAGTAATACCACGTAGACTAATACCACGCGCAGTCTGCTTCAGAGTGAACATTAACGTTCCTCTTCTTGGTTCTTTCGGTAAAGTCACGTAGAAGGAAAATAATAAAATTAAAACATAATAAAATAATTCTCACGACGTTTCGGCCACAACGCAAGCAGCCGTCCTCAGGTGAAGAACAGGTCTGTCAGACTCTGTCTCCTTGACAGCCCTGTTCTTCACCTGAGGACGGCTGCTTGCGTTGTGGCCGAAACGTCGTGAGAATAATTTTATTATGTTTTATTTTTATTATTTTCCTTCTACGTGACTTTACCGAAAGAACCAAGAAGATGAATCCCTGCAGTCACGTAAGCTTTAAATCGAAAATTAACGTTCCTCTGACGTAATTCACAAGAGTGCGCTATTGTGTCTAGCGTCAGGATCCAAATTCGCCAAATAAAAAAAAAAGACCAACAAAATTACATTTGGGGATATCATTGTACCCTACTTGAAGACGAATGTCCCATGTAACTATTCCAAATGAGTCAATCCTCATCTCTTGAGTGTTCTCCTGGTTAAGCAAAATAAACATGACCACTGGGTGCAACTGGTAACACATATCTCCTGGTTTTAAAATCTACCCCGTGAATTCCACCTGGATATTTTCTTTGAAAAACTGATAACAATGCTCATTGGGCTCCCGGCTGGTTCAAGAAAGGATATTGACATCTGACTGAATGTTCATGGGTGCAGTAATCATTTAATCAGACTGATATTACCACTCACAAGAAGGACGGACAGTCACAGGAGTCTGCAGTTTAGTGCTAACTTAAACCATATGAAGTACTCTAAACCTGGGCATTTCCTGGTAAGTACTCTCGCTAAAAGAGACAGTAAAAAAAACCTGTTATTCATATTCGTTGTTATTTGTTCTGTACATTCTCTAAAGGAACAACTTTCAAACAACAAAGACAAAGATGCCCCGTATAGCCTGTAACGGACTGTTGGGGCAAGTGCTATTAGCGAGCACCTATGAAGGCCAGAGTGGCACACAAGGGGGGGGGGGTGGGTGGCCAGCACCACACCACAGCCTTAGTGTCCCGAGTGGCGATGTTTATTCACCGCACCAGGTACTCATTGGAGGCCGAGTCGACCTAGAGGTAGAGGAGGAGGGGCGCAGGACCAGTTCAGATAATTGTCACTGGTGTGTTGGCCATCAGCGGGAATTGAACTCTGGCTGGGTTCGTAGTGCAGCGCGCTAACCGCTACACTACCGTTCCCCACCAACCAACACACACATGGGACAGGGGTGTGGGTGTGAATGTTGTTTTTACAAAGCACCACACGGAGAAGCTGCTGCAGGGGAAGGAGGTGGAATGAAGAAGTTAAAGCTTTAGAAGGGCTTGCTAATAATCTCAAGAAGGCAAGGGAGGCAAAACTTGCATCGTTTGGGGTATCTGTTGAGAAGAGAGACAGATGATGTAATTAAGACTACTGAGATACTGCCAATGCAGGGCAGGTGAGGGATTCTTAGATGGAAGGATCTGGTGGACCAAAATATTAGGGCAGTGGATGCATGTTGAACCTCTTTAGCAATCTATGTAGCCAACCGCGCTAATTATCCGAGGCACAGAACAGACAAATATGAAGCAAATACGAGCGGAGTACCCTATGCAATCATGGATCCCTATGTAAGCCTATGTAAGTGTGGGCTTCTTATGCATGTCTTTATGGGTCTCTATGCAAGTCTCTAGGTCTCTATGTAAGACCAATGATCATGAGAGCGTACGCGAGTTCATAGGTCGTCATACAAGTCTATGGATCCCGATGCAAAGCTACTGGACGTGATGACGAAGAGTCACAGAATAGAACGGAAAGAGCGAATGCGAGCAGATGACCCCACGCAACAATGGGACTTGTGGCACAGAAGATGGAAATGTGCTGCAGCCGACACATTAAGACTCGGAAAGAGAGGCGAGCACATTAGGTGAGCTCAGCTGGTGTGCGGTGAACGGGCAACAACGCGGCCGCTCGGTACAAAATGTAATTCTGCGGGGCCGCGAGGGGTCATGGGTCAGACGAGCCTGCGGATGCTTGCTTTCCCCAACGCCCAGAGGCGTTAACATCTCATTGCACGGAGCTCGTATTGGGTACAGTCCCCAGTGTGCGTCTGTACTCGTGTAGCGCGCACACATTAAAATATGATAGAATACATGTGTACGCGTACACGGGCAGAGAATTTTAGTTTTTTTTCATCAGGCGAGGGCTCTTTGAGGAAATAAGAGCTGGGAAAACGTAGCACAAGCACGTGGGCAAAACCAAAAGGTTAAAACATCTAAACATTGAAAAGGACATTGCAAAAGCCATACTCTTTTATGTCTGTGACATTAGGCATTCCAGTAGCATTTATTTAGCATGTATAACTGCTGATGAGACTGGAAAAAGTCAACACCTGTTTGCGTGCTTAAACAAATGCTGGGGAAAATGTTTTAACTGTGGGCTAAATGTGTTTTTCATCATAAAGGCAGACATACCTTTGTCTACGTAACATCTAAAAACATTTTAAAACGTTTGCCAATGTGAAACACAACTGCACTCCACAGGGAGAGGAATGCGTCCGAATGACTGACGTGTAACATATTCCATTAAAGCACCACTGCATTTATTGCGAATATGGGTCTGTTGACATTTATAATATAGCTTGTGAGCCACTGAAGATGTTTACACTGCTACACATAATAGGTTGTCATGGTTGCCTTGCTCAAGGAGTCGATGATGAGAATGCTCATGTCAGGAGAGAGCATCTGCAAGCGATGCACGTGTACACGTGTCTATAAATCAAATTGCCAAAGGAACACTGCGCCACTCCATTATAGCAGTCGTAGACAATGTATGTATGACTAGTGAAGAGCCCATATGACGAAAGTATATTGATCAAGAGAGAAAGACCATGGTTATTCTGGCCATCACTTAAATCTCGCTAATTAAGCGGCAGGCAGTTGGGAGCAAAACTTAAGGACGTTTTTGATTTGCACAGCGAGAGCCACCAAAAAAGTCAGCCCTGTATATAGAGCTCATTGGGAATACTTCCAATTCCTAACAACCTCTCAGACATACAATGCATCTCAGACACAACAAAGATCCCCCGTATAGCCTGAACAGGCTGTTGCAGCAAGTGCTGTTAGCGAGCACCTATGAAGGCCGGCATGGCACACCAGGGGGTGGATGGTCAAATACACCATGCCCGACCGCCTTTGCCTCCCCAGTGGCGATGTTTTTACACAATGCACCAGATACTTATTTAAGGCTGAGTCGACCGAGGGGAGGCCCAGGACGGGTTGAGATAATTGTCACCGGTGTTGGCCGTGAGCTGGACTCGAACTCGGGTCGCCGGGTTCGTAGCGCGGCGCGCTAGCTGCTGCACGACCGCTCCATATACAGTTCCTAACAGCCTCTCACAGACATACAATGCGTCAAAGACAAAGATCCCCCGTGTAGCCTTAACAGACTGTAGGGGAAAGTGATGTTAGCGAGCATCTATGAAGGCCCGAACGGTACACGAGGGGGTGGGTGGCCAGCACCACGCCCGACCGCCTTTGTCTCCCTAGTGGTGATGTTTACACACCGCACCAGGTACTCATTTGAGGCCGAGTTGACCTACAATGCCTCTCACACATTCACACC